TACGTACTTTTCAATACACATCTCCTGAACCTCTGCCACTTGTTCAAAGGGAGAACCAGAGGCTGAGATACAAGGGATCAACTGAGCAATGACTTTCCATGCTGTATTGTAATAGTGCACAATCATTGGCTTGCCTTTACCGTTGAAATCGACGCAGATAAAATGATGCTCGTATGGAACCTGCCCAAGGAAGGAATCTTTTCTTACTAGATGATCTCCAAGTCGTATGTCCTTAAAGCTGTGAATTGGTTCTCTAGCTTGCAGTTGCCATTGCAGAAGATCTTTTTGCTGATCCGTTGGAAGTCTCTCAATCCAATTCCAAATCTCTACGGAGGCTCGCGCCATGTCTTGTTTAGAAGAATTGGTCAGAAAACGAAAGTTCAGCAACGTTTCTCCTTCAGCTGCGAGACTGGAGGTCTATTTGAAGACTTTTATTTATTTACTTCTCAAAGGGATTTCCCCCGCGGTTTAATTTTAGAAAAATTCGTCACATTCTACTGAGATTATATTACCGTCCATGTGGATACCGCGTTTGTAACATGAAATGACTTCGTGACTTCAAGTGACTCCAAATACGTACCTTATGGTGCCTGATCTAAAGCAACAAAAAAAGTTTCGAGGAATCCTCACACTAACCTTGTGAGAGTAAGTTAGAACCCCTTGATGTTTTCCTACCTCGGCTACGTCACCAAACGTTGTCTTGCTCCGTTTAGTAACTTAACAAGAGGCTTAGTTTCGACTGTGTTGCCGAGTATTTCCTACCGGCCCTTCTCGAGAATTCTGTTTGTGACCTTTAGGCCACTTCAGTGATACCATCATAAACACTTTTGTACCTTATTAAACCAAAAACGTAGCAAGCATTAGAATAAAATATGGTTAGAGATGATACACTATGATTATTGTTAAAAACGGGTTTCGGAGATTTTAAGCACCTTATGCCTCATTTAAACCACTAAAGAAGAATGAAAACTTCTCGGATCAGTAATGAACATCCATTAATTTTCAGCGTTCTTTGAACTGTTTCCACAAGCAGGCGTTTTTCCCGCTGTTGTTGATTGGATAAAAAAATGAGAAGACATCACATGAAAGACGTTTTATGTACCCAAGGTTGAGTTTTAAAAGAAAGTATTATAGAGAGGAGAAGTATGACGTCACGTCACCATGGTAGAACTATTTGTGGATGACAACAAAACCAACGACGACGGCGACAGGACGGAAGGAGAACGGCAAAAAAAGTAGAATGTTTTTATTGACAAAACAACAAATTTGCACGTGCATCACACTATTTTGTACATTTCTTTGCCGTCGTTGTACCCCTGCGACATGAAGCTTCCTAATTTCACACTCTTGCTTTATGGAGTAGGTGAACACAACACAAAAGTTGTCTTTTTTCTCTTCTTAACTTAGATACGGTCCTGTCGGATTCAACCCGAGGACATTTCGCCAATATTTGCCAAATTAAATGAAATTTAATAAGTTCAATGAAGTTTGAGCGGTGCGAATTCACTTCTTAACTGACGTTTTCGGTTTGTTGTCATCCAAACATTTTGCTACCATGACAACGTTACGTAACGACTTCTGATCCACCAATTTAAGCGGACACCCCCTATTAAGCAAACACTAAGCCGGGTCCCCAAATTAACGTCTTGCATTTCCCGTTATGACGAACCCCTATTCAGCGGACACCTCTATTAAGCGGACGCGGACACTAAAATAAATTGTATTTGGCTAATTTCTATTGTTAAAACCCTCTATTAGGTGGACACCGGACTCAATTGACAATAGTAGTATTGGATTACGTCATTGAAATACTTATTGTAGTCGATTAATAAAGATAAATTAATACATTTAGGTGTCAATAAACTGTAGATGAGACCGATATCCGGCCGTATGGTTGTCATCCACGATCAAAGTTCACATAAAGTCTTGCCCAAAGTACAGCACTTCTTGGAACTTTATCACAGTACAGAGTAACCGTTGAATATTAATCTTTAACAAAAATTGCGCTATGGTTATCCATGATTGTATTTAAAAAATTGGGTTAATTTTTTATCTGAGGTAATTGTTATTTTTTCCTTTGTTTTTGGTTATGGTAATGTATGCTAACGAAGTTGAAACGAAGAAAAAAAATTACCTGAGATAGAAAATTAACTGCAACAAACACACAAGGTTGTGTTAAAGAAGGACTGTCTGTTTTTGAACTGTTTCCACAAGCGGGTTTTTTTCCAGCCATACTGAGTTGACTGGATAATAATTTTTGAGAAAACATCACATTTTTCACTATTTGTTTTTCTAATTTTTTAATTTATCACTGGTCACGTCCTTGTGTTTTTGAAAAATTCAAGACTCAGTTCATTTTTTTTTTTCATTTGTCATTAGCACTGATGTACTTTTAATTTAGACCGCCTGAATTGATACAAGCCTCTTTCCGTTGTCTCTCGCAAAGCAAGGGGGAAATGAGTACTAGGCGCATTATACAATAATCTACACTAGTAGCAATCAAAGATCGATAAAGAGTGATCCGGATTCCAATTCGTGTATTATACAGTCTAACCTCCACTAACGGCCACCTCTCTACAATGGCCACATTTTTTTGGCGGACAGTCCATACATTGACTCTTGTTTAAACCTGACTCTACAACGGCCACTTTCTTCTTTCCCCAAGATGGCCGTTGTGGAGAGGTTCAACTGTATCACATGGCTTTAACCCTTTAAACCCTAATATGAAAACTGAGATTCTCATTTACTGTCCCTAAGCTTTTTCAATAGAAGTAGTGGGGAGAATTTGTACAATATATCAGTTGCACACATCTTCCTTGATCATGACCTCAATTCTCATGACCACTCTGTTTTCTAAAGCAATGATATTATTTGGAGAAATTTCATGCTGATCACTTTTGTACTCTTAGGGCTGAAAGGGTTAAGGCAACAGAGACCGTGTTTGACATATCACGTGGTTTTAACGTAAAAACGAGGCAAGCAGTTTGCGTAAAAAGAAAGAAAAATTTTCCCAACAGGGAAAATAACCACTAGTCTTTATCTTTTACCCCATAACAAAGATAGGACGCGGTTTGTCGACCGCAGCAGGTCTCGAGCAGCATTAATGGCCGCTGAAGAAACAAAGGAAACTTTTAGTTACATGAAACTTGTAAATCACCCTCAGATTTAGCTGAACATTTTACTCCCTTATATAGGCCATATAGGAATGTACCGTCCCAAAAGATAGGGTTTTTGGGTCGCTTTGGTCGGAAAACGGGTATAGAAAGAAAGAGCATGTAATATGCGAATTCCAAATGGATTTTAAGAAATGTTTTTGTTGCAATGATGAAATAATTTCTGTTTTATGTAAACTCGTAATGTTGCGTTTCGAGACCACCTCCGGGTCTGAAAACGGGTGTGGAAAATGACATTTTTTGGTCTAAAATAGGGTCGGGATTTGGAGAATCAGGCAGCACATCTCCCCCCTACCCCGCCCCCTAGAAAACCAAATGGCTAGAGTAAGCCTTCAAAAAATAAAATAAACAAACGACGAAGTACATAAAAGTAATAGCCCTCTTTCTCTCTCTAACGCTCTCTGCGTCGCTGTCCATTTCTGAATGTTTGGAACAGACTATTCAAACCCGTTGTCTCTTATGGTGCAAGTTTTAAAACCTTATTCTAAACAAACAAGGGTAAAATTTAGTTTTTTTTTTGGTTTCAATTTTTTACCGATGATTCTTTGCGTTTAGCCCCTTCTAGGTTTCAATTCAATTCTATTTTATTCACAGTTTTATAAAATATTTACATTACATATAGCAAGGTAGGAATACACTAATAAAGAAGAAGAAAAAGGAAAAAAGAAAATTAATGGCTTGGATAGAAGTGTGCGGTGGTCAGAGGAGCTTAGCTTTCGAGCTAACCACCGCTGTACATACTACAATGTCATAAATTATAACTTCAAGCCGATAAATGTAGAAAAGTGTTATTCTTGGGACTGCTATTTCAATATCATACGATGAGCTTTCAGGCTGCTCACATCATCTTTACTATAAGGTAGATTTGGCAAAGACAACTTGACGATAGTGACGACCTCTATCCGCCTTAATCATCGCGTTGGCTAAAGGCAAAGTTACAGCGCAAATGGCGAAAAGGAAAATCGAGTATCGGAAGTCGCGTTCCAACACAAATTGAAACTATTTCCCCCAAAGAAAACCCTCATATGGAAAAGGCATTGTTCGATTGGCCAATCGTGTTGCAGTATGACGTCAAAGCGAAGTATCGATTGATTTCTAGAAAGTTCTCGGGCATGAAGTTTTTTCACCCGAGCGTTTGCTTAACCAACCAAAAGAAACGCACGTCTGTATCCGTTCAATAAACCAAATAAATTGCTTTATTTCCGTTCGTTTGTTGTTTCTGTTTTGTTCGCGCGTTTTAATTTCAAGGTCATACGAAAATCGCTCTAGCGAAGAGCGCAAGGGTGACACAGGCACGTGTCCAGTTCGTGCGTTATAAACAGTAGGGAGCTCAAGCAAAGACGTTTCTAAGCGACGCGCGTCAACAAGAAGTGGACCTTTTTCATTCATGGGCATGGTTTAGCCCACATTTTCGGCCAAAATCGTCTCTACGAAAGTAAAGACACTTAGCAATACAAATTTGGTAGCGTCAAGTCATATCATAAGAAAATTTACGTATTTTAGTATTTCTTAGTATGTCTATAATAAAGGAAAAGGCCTCACTTCTGGTTGACGTACGTCGCTTAAAAACGCCTTTACTTAAAGAAGCTGTGTCACGGCAGTCCAGATCATTAAGTTTAATTTCGCCCACTACTCGCCCTCAATCGCTATGGAACTTAAAGTAAGTAAAGAAATTACAAGTAAATGACAAAGTAAGAGATTCGAGACAAACACTGATATGTCTCCTGAACATTATTTTTGAAGTTGCAAACAACAGAGATAAACTTTGAAAAACTGTTACGCTGAACAGTTTTCAAAAACTCTAATTTCAATCCGTTTCAATCTTCTTCAGTTTTGTCCATCCGTGGCATCTGTTGTATCTTTTGTGTTATTTTGACCTTCCTTTAATGTTTAAGCGGTTATTTTTATGTTTCTCTTGGATTTAACGGGCATTTTGTAATACCTAATTTGACTGAATTTCGTGACACAGCGCCTTTAAGCAGCTTCTCTCCCAAGTTACAAGTGATGATAGATATATGAAGTACCTCGAGAAAGGAGCACTCTCATTGGTGTAAGAACACTCCTAATCGAGTTAATCAGCGGGTTTATCAGGAGACAACCAGTTGTCTATATGTTCAGCCAGAAATTCTGTGAGGCCAAATTCAGTGAGCAGTTTTGAGGCGAAATGGCCTGATAAATAACCAAGTACAGCTCCAATTATGCCACCAAGGACTGGAATAGGGATTAACAACTGGCCAACTATCATTCCACCAATACTTCCACCGGCACGGAAGGGAGCTGACAAAACACTATCAATGACTTCCTTGATAAACTCCTTTCTGGTCTTTATGACAATTCCCTCCTTCCATTTTTGTTTAGCTGACTTAATTTCTCTATAAGCCAGATAACCTTCTGCGAAAATGGCCACTATTGCTCCACCCCAGACACCGATTCCTCTCGGAAGAGCTGCCGCAACGGGCTTTGCCCTGATTAGTCGCATCGACGCAAGAAGTATGTCGTCGCCAAACTGTTCAACAAGTGCTTTTGGAACTTGCTGAAGTGAATGTTTAAGAAAATTATATCCACCGCCAATAACCTCACGAAAATAACGAACAGCAGCGGTCACTTGAAGGCTGATTTGTAAATCGCAAAAGCACCACATGATTAAGGTCTCGCAGTTATTCTTCTCTAAATCGTACCATCTTTCTTTTTTTCTAGCCCTTTCCCTGGCTCTTTTAGCCCTTTCCTCGGGAGGATACCGAGGCAGTTCCTCTGGCCACACGACTCTTGCCACTTCGTTTCCTTCCGTTTGCAGCTTGGCTTCGCTGACGTACTCTTCAATACACATCTCCTGAACCACTGCCAGTTGTTCTATGGGAGAACCACAGCCTGAGATACTAGGGATCAACTGAGCGGTGGCTTTCCATGGTGTATTGTAGTAGTGCACAATCATCGGCTTGCCTTCACCGTTGAAACTGACGCAGATAAAATGATGCTCGTACGGAACCAGCCCAAGGAAGGAATCGTTTCTAACTAGATGATCGCCAAGTCGTACGTCCTTAAAGCTGTGAATTGGTTCTTTAGCTTGCAGTTGCCATTGCAGAAGATGTTTTTGCTGATCCGTTGGAAGTCTCTCAATCCAATTCCAAATCTCTACAGAGGCTCGCGCCATGTCTTGTTTAGAAGAATTGGTTAGAAAACGAAAGTTCAGCGGCGTTTCTCTTTCAGCTGCGAGACTGGAGGCTCTATCTGAAGACTTTTATTTATTTACCTCTCACAGGGATTTCCCCCGGGGTTTAACTTTAGAAAAATTCGTCACATTCCACTGAGATTATATTTCCGTCCATGTGGATGCTGCGTTTGTCAGCATGACATCGTGATTTCAAGTGACTCCAAATACGAACCTATGCTGCCTGATCTAAAGCAACAAAATCAGTTAAGACCTTTTAAATGTTTTCGAGGAATCCTCACACTAACCTTGTGAGAGTAAGTTAGAACCCCTTGATGTTTTCCCACCTCGGCTACGCCACCAAACGTTGTCTTGCCCCGTTTAGTAACTTAACCAGAGGCTTAGTTTCGACTGTGTTGCGGAGTATTTCCTACCCGCCCTTCTCGAGAATTCTGTTTGTGACCTTTAGGCCACTTCAGTGATACCATCATAAACACTTTTGTACCTTATTAAACCAAAAACGAAGCAAGCATTGGAACAAAATATGGTTAGAGATGATACACTATGATTATTGTTAAAAACAGGTTTCGGAGATTTTAAGCACCTTATGCCTTATTTAAACCACTAAAGAAGAATGAAAACTTCTCGGATCAGTAATGAACATCGATTAATTTTCAGCGTTCTTTGAACTGTTTCCACCAGCAGGCGTTTTTCCCGCTGTTGTTGATTGGATAAAAAAAATGAGAAGACATCACATGAAAGACGTTTTATGTACCCAAGGTTGGGTTTTAAAAGAAGTATTATAGAGGGGAGAAGTATGACGTCACGTCACCATGGTAGAACTATTTGTGGATGACAACAAAACCAACGACAACGGCGACAGGACGGAAGGAGAATGGCAAAAAAAGTAGAATGTTTTTATTGACAAAACAAATTTGCACGTGCATCACACTATTTTGTACATTTCTTTGCCGTCGTTGTACCCCTGCGACATGAAGCTTCCTAATTTCACACTCTTGCTTTATGGAGTAGGTGAACACAACACAAAAGTTGTCTTTTTTTCTCTTCTTAACTTAGATACGGTCCTGTCGGATTCAACCCGAGGACATTTCGCCAATATTTGCCAAATTAAATGAAATTGAATAAGTTCAATGAAGTTTGAGAGGTGCGAATTCACTTCTTAACTGACGTTTTCGGTTTGTTGTCATCCAAACATTTTGCTACCATGGCAACGTTACGTAACGACTTCTGATCCACCAATTAAGCGGACACCCCCTATTAAGCGAACACTAAGCCGGGTCCCGAGATTAACGTCTTGTATTTCCCGTTATGACGAACCCCTATTCAGCGGACAACTCTATTAAGCGGACGCGGACACTAAAATAGATTGTATTTGGCTAATTTCTATCGTTAAAACCTGTATTAGGCGGACACCGGACTGAATTGACAATAGGAGTATTGGATTACGTCATTGAAATACGTATTGTAGTCGATTAATAAAGATAAATTAATACATTTAGATGTCAATAAACTGTAAATGAGACCGATATTCGGCCGTATGGTTGTCATCCACGATCAAAGTTCACATAAAAGTCTTGCCCAAAGTACAGCACTTCTTGGAACTTTATCACAGTACAGAGTAACCGTTGAATGTTAATCTTTAACAAAAATTGCGCTATGGTTATCCATGATTGTATTTAAAAAAATTGAGTTAATTTTTTATCTCAGGTAATTTTTATTGTTTCCTTTGTTTTTGGTTATGGTAATGCATGCTAATGACGTTGAAACGAAGGGAAAAAAGATTACCTGAGATAAAAAATTAACTGCAACATACACACAAGGTTGTGTTAAAGAAGGACTATCTGTTTTTGAACTGTTTCCACAAGCGGGGTTTTTTCCAGCCATACTGAGTTGACTGGATAATAATTTTTGAGAAAACATCACATTTTTCACTATTTGTTTTTCTTATTTTTTAATTATCAGTGGTCACGTCCTTGTGTTTTTGAAAAATTCAAGACACAGTTCATTTTTTTTTTCATTTGTCATCAGCACTGATGTACTTTTAATTTAGACCGCCTGAATTGATACAGACGCCGATCGTCATTGCAGCTGAACTAAGTTCAACAGTCGTTAGACTGTGACACCTGTCAACATCTACTATTTTTGAACAATATCATGGGTTTCTTTCACGTACCCTTCTAGTTGATATTAGGTTGATTTAGCAACAGAGCGGGAACGTCAGTTGACGACGGCGCGCGCAAATCAAACAACTGGTTTGACCAATGGCAGAGCGACAAATTTAGGTTTACCTACTACTTGGAGCAACAGGGAGTCGCTGGAACAGTTGTTGAGGGACATTTGGGCGTTCGGGTTTGCTTTCGCCTCTAACATGTCCGATTAGAGGTCTACAAAGATGTACTGATATCTGATATAGAACACTATAAAAGTAAAATTTAAGACTATATGACAGAACTCTCCGGGAGGAACAAGCCTCTTTCCGTTGTCTCTTGCAAAGCAAGGGGGAGATGAGTACTAGGAGCATTATACAATAATCTACACTAGTAGCAATGAAAGATCGATAAAGGGTGGTCCAGATTTCAATTCGTGTATTATACAGTCTAACCTCCACAAACGGCCACCACTCTACAGCGGCCACTTTTTTGGCGGACAGTCCATACATTAGGGACCTTACAAAACTACGACGGCGACTGCAAGGGGAACGTCAAAAAAACAATAGGTTTAATGAGCAAAAGAACAACTCTGCACGTGCATCACCCTTTTTGGTACATTTTTTTGCTGTGCCTGCACGAAAACGACGTGAAATGACCACACTTTAAGTTTACTTGAGTACGGGAACGACAAGGCGATAAATTCTACCATCTCTGTCTGAACTCGGGCGCGGCCCCCTCTCTTCAGCTCCACAACCAAAATTCCCTTCTTTTAAGTAATAGTGCGAATTGGGATGATCGCGAAAACGTCTAAAAGGATGCGAAGACCATTTTTCAACGACGTTTTCATGGACGTCGCCGTTGTCGGATCGTAAGGTCCCTATTGACTCTACAACTCATCTTCCCTGATCATGAACTCAATTCTCATGACCACCCTGTTTTCTAGAGCAATGATACTATTAGGAGAAATTTCATGCTGATCACTCTTAGGGATTAAAGGGTTAAAGCAACAGATACCGTGTGTGATATATCACATGGTTTATCGTAAAAACGAGGCAAGCAGTTTGCGTAAAAACAAAGTAAATTTTCGCAACAGAGAAAATGGACGCTAATCTTTATCTTTTACCTCATAACAAAGAAAGGACGCGGTTTGTCGACCGCAGCAGGTCTCGAGCAGCATTAATTTGTAAATCATCCTCTGATTTGGGTAAATATATAGTTTTAATATAGAGTTCACAGCAACCTTGTCCCCTAAAGGAAATAAAGAAAAGAAGTGTATATACACTCTTTTTTTTATAAGAATATATTTTATAAGAATATCAAGGCTGAAATTTACGAAATTTTAAGAATGTTTTAAGAATAAAGCCGAGGCTGAGATTTTGAAAAGGATAGATATAATTTTGTGTGTTGAAACATCTGTAAATACAATACAATTTTATGTTTTTAACTTAACCGTAAAAAATTGTTCCTTTCTCTGAACGGCGAAACTAGCCAACAAAACAAAAAAACCTGCACTAGCTATAGCAAAATGTTCAACGCTAATGACAGTTCGATGAACGGTACATGTAATACATGTACATATACCCCAATAAATTTTAAAACGGAAATGTCATAAGCTATAATTTAAGAATAATACAAGAATATTTTCAGCCTAAAATCGGCAGAAAAATAAGAATATTCAGCCTGGGCCGGAAAAACAACATTCTTATATAAAAAAAGAGTGTAAATATCCTTTTGTCTTTTAATCTTCTAAGCTTAGTAACAAACTTATTAGTGAGATATACTATGAAAAGAAACGGCAGACGACGACGACGACAAAACGTAAAAGTAGTTCTTTCTCTCTCTACTTCCTCTTTGCGCAACGATCCACTTGCTGAAAGTTTGAAACACACGGCTTCAAACCCTTTGTCCTTCCAGCCGGAAGTTTAAATCTAGGCTGCTTACCATTTGCACAAACCACTCGGGTGGAAATCTTGTTTATAAACACCAAAACTATGAAATTTGATGTAATGGGCGGATGACCTGCTAAAAACTTTGTCCAAATCAGCTGATGAAGAGACTAATAAAAAGTGTAAAAATTACATCGCCTTAAACCGAATGACACGAACCATTTGATTTTCACCCGGAATTTCTGGTTTTCCCATGTAAATGGTAAGTACCCCTATATTCTTAACAAACAAAGGTTGAAATTCGGGATGTTTTTATTACCCATGAATCTTTACATCTAGTTTGAAATGCCGTCTACTTGTACAACGACGTACTGATTTTAACATAGCTTCTAAGTAAACCGAAAGAAATATTTGATCCTTGGAAGCTCTTCTACAATATCATACTAAATGAGATTCTATAATGACCACATCATCTTTATAAGCAGATAGATTTTGCGGCCATTAAGACCACACGACGAAAATGGCGAACGCAGATGTAAACACCGCCTGACAAATGGCAGAATTATTATTATTTTTTTTGTCACTTAATCACTGTTTATTTCAATTTCTTGCCTTACAATAATAACATTAATTTTTACATACATTACCGACATTACAATTTTTTTAAAAAATAATACAAAAATAACTCACACACTACACACAACGACAGTATCAATACTACTAAACCTTATTAAGTATTTATCGGCAATTGTGTACCACCTGTCAAGAGTTCTTGCCATTTCGATAAATGAAAAGACATTTTATGGCGGAAACGGATCGCAGGAGCGGCAAATCGAGGACCGGAAGTCGCGTTCATTCCTTTCCGGGTACCTTTACGTTAAAACAAACTGGTACACGCGACGGATATTCCCTGTGTACAGTACAGACCCTCCCTCTCCTCTGGAAGGGGGGAGGGGGGGGGGCTCTTTACAAAGGCTAAATGGAGAACGAGGGAAACGAGTGCGAGGCGCGCGAGGGTGACACACGCACAAGACCAGTTCGCGCGTTAAAAACAGTCTCACGAGCGTCTATCAGTACAAGCAATGCCAAGTTACAGATGATGACAGTCATATGAAGTACCTCGAGAAAAGGTCACTCAGTCATTGTTGTCCCTAAGTTTGCACGGCTCCTAATCGAGTTTATCAGGAGACAAGTGGCTGTCAATACATTGAGCAAGAAATTCTGTGAAGTCAAAACCAGTAAGCCATTTTGAGGTGTAATCGCATGCAAAAGCACCGATTGCGGCTCCAATAATACCACCAAGGACTGGGATAGGGATTAAAAACTGGCCGAATGTCATCCCGCCAATGCTTCCACCGGCACGTAAAGGAGCTGACAGAACACTATCAATGACTTCCTTGATAAACTCCTGTCTGGTCGTCATGACAATCCCCTCCTTCCATTTTTGCTTAGCTGACATAATTTCTCTGTAAGCCAGAAAAGCTTCTGCGAAAATGGACACTGCTGCGCCGACGTAGACTCCGATTCCTTTCGGAAGAGCTGCTTCAATGGGCTTTGCCCTCATAAGTCGCATCACCGCAAGAATTATGTCGTCGCCAAACTGTTCAACCACTACTTTTGGAACTTGCTGAAGTGACTGTCTGAGAGAATTATATCCACTGCCAATAACTTCACGAAGATATCGAACAGCAGTGGTCACTTGAAGACTGATTTGTAAATCACAAAAGCACCACATGATTAGGGTCTCGCAGTTATTCTTCTCTAAATCGTACCATTTTTCTTTTTTTCCAGCCCTTCCCCTGGCTTTTTTAACCCTTTCCTCGGGAGGATACCGGAGCAGTTCCTCTGGCCACACAACTCTTGCCACTTCGTTTCCTTCCGTTTGTAGCGCGGCTTCGCTGACGTACTCTTCAATACACATCTCCTGAACCACTGCCAGTTGTTCAAAGGGAGAACCACAGCCTGTGATACTAGGGATCAACTGAGCGGTGGCTTTCCATGGTGTACTGTAATAGTGCACAATCAACGGCTTGCCTTCACCGTTGAAACCGACGCAGATAAAATGATGCTCGTATGAAACCAGCCCAAGGAAGGAATTTTTTCTTACTAGATGATCGCCAAGTCGTATGTCCTTAAAGCTGTGAATTGGTTCTCTAGTTTGCAGTTGCCGTTGAAGAAGATGTTTTTGCTTATCCGTTGGAAGTCTCTCAATCGAATTCCAAAACTCTACAGAGGCTCGCGCCATGTCTTGTTTGAAAGAATTGGTTAGAAAACGAACTTTCAGCAACGTTTCTCCTTCAGCTGCGAGACTGGACGCTCTATTTGAAGACTTTATTTATTTACCTCTCACAGGGATTTCCCCCACGGTTTAATTTTAGAAAAATTCCCACATTCCACTGAGATTATATTTCCGTCCATGTGGATACTGCGTTTGTCAGCACGAATTTCAAGTGACTCCAAATACGAACATATGCTGCCTGATCTAAAGCAACAAAATCAGTTAAGACCTTGGAAATGTTTTCGAGGAATCCTCACACTAACCTTGTGAGTGTAAGTTAGGACCCCTTGGTGTTTTCCTAGCTTGGCTACGTCGCCAAACGTTGTCTTGCCACTTTTAGTAACTTACCCAGAGGCTTAGTTTCGACTGTGTTGTCGAATATTTCCTACCCGCCCTTCTCGAGAATTTTGTTTGTGACCTTTAGGCCACTTCAGCGATGCCATCGTAAACACTTTTGTGCCTTATTAAACCAAAAACGTAGCAAACATTGGAATAAAATATGGTTAAAGATGATGCATTATGATTATTGTTAAAAAACGGGTTTCGGAGATTTTAAGCTCCTTATGCCTTATTTGAATCACTAAAGAAGAACGAAAACTTCTCGGATCAGTAATGAACATCGATTAATTTTCAGCGTTCTTTGAAATGTTTCCAGAAGCAGGGGTTTTTCGCGCTATAGTTGATTGGATAAAAAAACAAATTAGAAACACATGAAATACGTTTTATGTACCCAAGGCTGTGTTTAAGAAAGGACCGTCTGCTTTTATCTGTTTCCACAAGCAGGGTTTTTTTCCCGCTATAGTTGATTGGATAAAAATAGATTGGGAAGACATTGCATGAAATATGCAGGGGTTTTCCCCGCTATGGTTGACTGTATAAAATCATCTATCATTATCTCAGGTAATTTTTATTTTTTCCTTTGTTGTTAGTATGTATGCTAATGAAGTTGAAACGAAGGAAAAAAATTAACTGCAACATACACACAAGGTTGTTTTGAACAAGCAGTTTTTTTCCAGCTAAATGCTGAGTTGATTGAATAAAATTGAGAAGACATCACATTTTTCAGTATTTGTTTTTCTTATTTTTTAATTTATCACTAGTCACGTCCTTGTGTTTTTGAAAATATTCAAGACTCAGTACACTATTTATTTAATTATTTCATTTGTCATCACCACTGATGTAGTTTTAATTTAGACCGGCTGAATATTGATTCAGACGCCGATCTTAATTGCAGTTGAACTGAGTTCAAAAGGCGAAAAATGCTCATTTCGGTCAAACTGCTTACAAAATACGTTATAATAATTTATGCATTAGGTTCGGAACATGAAAAGTTCGGCGCCTGAATCAAAGCCGTTGCGCTCCAAAGGCGAAATTCCAGACCGGGCTAGGCGAAAAGAATGGCTGAGCCGTTCCAAATTTCTCACTGATTCAGACGCCGAACCTTTCATGTGCTTAATTCATTGTATTAGGTTGGGCTCATGAAAGGTTTGGCGTCTTGAGGATGATAATAGGGACCTTAAGATCCCGACGGCAACGGGAACGCCAAAAAAGCAATAGGTTTAATTAGCAAAACAATCACGCTTTTTGTACATTTCTTTGCCGTCACTGCACAACTACGACGTGAAAATACCTAATTTCACGACGTACAGAGGAAGTACACAAGCGACGACGAAATTTCCTCTCTCTTTCTGAACTTGGATATGGTTCTTACGAATTCAACTTTAGGAGGGTTCGCCTACATTTGACGAAGTTAGTGAAGTTAGTGGAGTAGTCGCGATGAAGATTGAAAGAACACGAATTCACTTTTTCAGCGACGTTTTCTCTGCCGTCGCCGTCCTCGGATCTTAAGGTCCCTATTAATAGAACGAGCGGACAGAGATATTCACGCGGTAATAAAACGACCTAAACCTGACTTAAGTAGACCTTTTCGCGGTTTTTACAACTTTTTATATGGACCAGTTAGGGAGACTCCTTCGACACCACTGAAAGAGCGCCTTAAAATGAGTAACAATGCCAAATTTGAAAGTGCTGCGTCTTTAGCGAGCGACGATATAGCTCCGCAAAATTGCGAAAATTTGCAGACGTTTGTATGATGGGAGACAAGGGTGAACTTCTCTCAGGCTGTTTTTCGAAACTGCATTCTCGCCTTGAAAGAGAAAAAGTGGAGATCGCCGATATCGTAAGCAGAATTCTTGCGAAAATACGCGAAAACTTCCGAAAAAAGTTCTTCGAAGAGTTCGATCTGGCCGAAGATGACCGAGGGTCCAGCGAAGCTATTTCCGAAGAATTGCAACAGAAGGCATCGGCGTGGTATTACGCCGCATACAGTCACTCGAGAGTCGCTAAGGAATCAGAGAATTCCTCAGACGACCCCATTCCGCAGTTTCTCAGCTTCCCGTGGCTTGTGGATGACGTCATGCTTTCAATTCGACTTAGTAAAGCTTGTGAAGAACAAGACTCACAAAGCGTGGTCACTTCAATCAGCGACAGTGTCATCAAACTGTTTGACTATGAACGAGATACACTGGTACAAGGTTTTCACGACAGGATACAGAAAAAGAGTGTCATATCACGTTCACTTCCGGGTGTTACTTTGGCCATGTTTGGTTCCTCAGCGACATTTCTCTTCCGGCAAGACTCTGACCTTGACCTTTGCGTTATTTATCCCACGCACATCGCTCTTCGACAAAAGCTTGGACGAGACGATCAGATCACCGTGCTCAAAACCTTACTCCCAGTCTTAAGTAATCTGTTTAAGCATGCGCGGCTTGTGGATCATACCCGGGTGCCGGTGAGTGTTCATTCTTATACGTACCTAGCGTTGCGATCCTTTTCGCCAGCGCCACAAGTCGCTTTATAGCGCTAGCCGCTAGTCAAAAGTATGACGGTGCCTCCCAATTATTTGACTGTCACATAAAAATTTACTCTAAAGACTGCAATTTGGCGGCCTAGTTCCATGTATTGGTTGATTTATGTTCTTTTTCTCTTTGATTTGTTGGAGTTCTGCAGTGAAATTGTGATAGCTATAACGAAGTAGAAAAAGGAAGCTACAGTCGGTGGATACCACCTTCCAGGTGACTTGCCTATGCTCATGCGCATAGTACTGGTCATTCCACGGATGGTATCTGAGTACCTCCCTCCATTTTTTGTTTTAACTTTGAATTATTTTTACTTCTTAATATGATCATATCCATATTTAATTCCAGGTGATTGCCTGTGACAATCCCGCAAAGCGATCTGGCTCACTGGCAAGCGTTAAAGGTGATGTTACAGCGTCATGCGATGGCCTTCTGAAAGCCATTGTCTTATCGAGCTACATTAAATCATACCCAGCTCTTCTACCTGTTCTCCGTCTTCTTATGAACTGGGGTCAAGTGACGGGTCTCTTGGGGCATGGGGTAGACGCGGGAATCAAGACCAACTTGTTGACTTTCCTGTTTCTAATATTCTGCGTTTCCAAAGGACTAGTGAATGATTTCAGTTGGGAACACGTTTGGAACCGGTGTTTTCAAATTGCGACTGGCAGAGTCAATGACGCAGTCCTCAATCAAGAATGGGACAGGGTTATGAGCTCTTTTCAATCAACAGAAACCTCGGATGCTAAGAAAAGTGGTCCACTGATTCTGGGCGATCAGCAAATAGGCGAGATTCTACTGACATTTTTCCAAGCCTACAACACAACCCTCGACTTGGCAATCCCACAAACCTTCGCTTCCTTACTGGGCGTGCGCAAACTTGAAGAACTTCTTGACTCAGAGCACCTGCGTCTCCTTAAGGAACACATGCAACGTGCATTTCATCTTCTGGCGCTTTATGGAGACGCCGAAGTGCTCCTCACCATAAGCGCTTCGGAAATCGATCGCGTTATATTTCTATCTCAAGCACTGTCTTACACCATGGCCGGTTCAGAAAGGCATAACGCTTTTGAACTCTCCAAAAAGACTGGTGCGAGGGTAACCATTCGTCCTAGTCTCCCGGGATGAGGATTTGGCCTTGTTTTACAAGCTATTGGTACCGAGTCCGCTGTGGCGTCAGTGGAACGGGCGCTAAATGCCATGGCGACGCAGGCACTGCGCAACAAGGCAGCGGTTATGTCAGTGTGTTTTGTGAAGGAAGCTAAACACATGATCTTTGAAGGTAACATGTCTCCTTCATTAAAGGGCGGTGGAGAAGTGTCCTGACATTTTTGTTTGGCCATAATCATTTGCTGTCCAAATATCCCCATAACATCCCTTGTTGTGAACAGACAAAATTTTTCTTTCCCGGTGGGTCAAAATAATGAAAGATCAAAAAGCATCAAGCATTCATCTTTCCACCTCACTAAAGAAGCAGATTAGTGCTTTTAGCAACCGAAAGTGACATCATACATCAGTCAAGCAAGAGTATACAAAATTGTGATGAGTGCTTACTCCCTCTCCCGCTCTCATTTCTCCATATTTTTCTTCTTCGCCAAATTTTCTTTTCTACATTAAGCCCAATGAATTGTTTGGAGAGCTTCATATTTAAGTGAAGCATTGTGCACCCTCTATCCCAGGGCCTCCCGTCTCTTCTCTCCCGGTGGAAGTAGAGAAAAGAGACCCTGGGAACGAGGTTATCAATTGTGTTGGTATATTTCAAGGTTGCCTAAGTGATGACGACGGTGTCACCTTGGTACCGTACTATGGAAATCATCACCCCACTCATGATAGTCTGGCTTTGTACGTACCGATGTTGGCGAACCCGAAGTCTGGACTGCGCAGAATCGGAGCGGCATACACGCGACATGAGTTCCTGAGCTTCGCAGAGAGATTTCATACTCAAGTGCAGGTATTACGATTATCGGATCAGTAAGAGATAAACTGCCCACCACTCCCCTCCCCTAACTTTTCATTTCCGGGAAAATGTCGGCGCTTTGCTCAGGCGTCATGTATTTGCTTCGAGATTTGATTGGCTCGTTTGATTGTCTCACAAGCGCCCTGATTGAGCAATGTAATTACGTTGGTTTCAAATCAAAATTGCTCTAAGGCGAAATGTATTGTGGGTCAAACTTTAAGAGTCAATGAATGAAATCATATGGAACACTTTTAGATGAAAAGTACTTTGTTTTCTAAGAAATGTCACAAAACGAATATAGAGCTTGGTCTTGAATTTGAATGGGAAAACGATTCTTTAAGCTGTCAATAATCTCGTTTTTTTAAATCATTTCTTTTTAGGTAATTGAGAGGGATTTTGTGCCTACAATTCATGGTGAAATGGAATTTGCCATTCATTTTGGGCGTCTATACGTGTTGAACGTTCCAAAGTCCTTTACAGAGGACACCGAAGCGCCGAGCGTGCGTATGTTTCAGACAAATCTCACGCGAGGCTACAAACCACGCCCAAGTGTCTTGTCCGCCCCTCGAAACGTTAGAAAATATGGCAGATCGCGCGTCATCTGTACTGGGGGAAAATTAAAAACTCGATTACACAGGATGCGAAAGGGAATCGAAGTAACGAAGGACGGAAAGAAAATTCCTAAAGAAAAAGCATCCCGAAGTTCCTTCTTTACTGTCGTTTCATCGCAAGAGAAAGTTGACCGTTTCTTGTCCCAGCGTGGCTTTTCAGTTCACGCGGAATCTGCAGAGAAGTACTCGGTTGAAATTCACACCGATCACGAGTTTTTAGTGATAACGGACAAAGCTTTTAACTTTCTCGAGATTAGGTTGCCAAAGTTACGATGGTGTGCGGTAGATGTTAAGAGGGCATGGAAGGAAAACCCTGAGGAACATGACATGACCGATTTGGACGGAGTTGAGACTGATGTGCGTTTTGTTCTGCAGGTACTGAATAAATGAACTGTAGTTTCCTTTTATTGTTGTTGCCATTTAAGAGTTTGTTTAAAATGGGTACTACAAATTACTGTAAAGTATTCTTCCCAGTAACTGTCTAAAAAAACATGTCAGTTAGACTGTGACAGCTGGTCTACGCACTCCCCCCCACTCTTTTTGAAAAATATAATGGGTTTCTTTCACGTACCCTTCTAATAATTGATACTCATGTATGGATGGAGGCATGGCCCCCAATCTAATGTCACCATCCAAAGCTTAAAGACGCGATCGTTTGAACTGCTGGAATGAAGCAAGGCCTGAATCAGAACCACACAAATGGAGCAGCCAGCATAACAATCTTACCGAATTATTTACAGACATTGGTTACTGGTACGGTGAGGGTCTGAACTCGCGGCCTTTCGCTCAGCAGACTGACACTCTCCCAACCAAGATAACTGGGAGGCGGTTCAGTAGTTTTCATTTGAATCGTCACGCTTTAGCATTTTGTCTGTAGACGCAAACTTAAAGTTAGAACCACCTTGTAGAGCATAATAAACAACATCACAGAAAAGTATTGCTCAATAGCTTTCATTTGAATGGTCACACTTTAGGATTTCATCCACAGATTTAAAAGTTTGAACCACTTTGTAGAGCATAATAAACAGGATCACAGGAAAATACTGCTCAGTAGCTTTCATTTGAATCAGGGTCACACTACAGGATTTCATCCACAAAGTCAAAGTTACAACTATCTTGTGTAGCATAACAAACTGTACTACAACAAAGTACTGCTCGGTAGCTTCCATTTTTAAGGATCTCATTCACACACTCAAAAATAGAACCACCATGTACACCTGGTGTACATCACAATAAACAGTACCACAAAAGAGTACTTTCATTTGACTAGTCACACTTAAGGATTCCAACGACAGACTGAAAAGTAAGAATCGGTTAGAACCTTATAAACAGCACCGCAGAAATTCATTTCCGAGGTAACACCTTCGCATTTCATCCACAGATTGACCAAAAAGTTAAAACCGCCTTAATGAGCGTGTAGTCTCCGAAGTTCGACATAAAGCCCCTGAACCTTCTTGTCCCCTTCTGCTGATCTTTTTCATGATAGGCCGTTTTACTTTTACTGCAGACCCGTCGTTCTTTGCGCCCAGATGACATCCGGGGATCTAATTATGAGCAGTACCGGGATGTATTGCAGCCTCAACCTCATCGGCAATCCACCCGGAGTCCATTCGTAGTGAAACCGGAAATTTGGAAGGAGGTAGCTATGATTCGCCACAAGAAATCCCGGATATATCGGGTCAAGGATTCCACGTGCACTGTAAGCGAGTTTAGGAAATCACTCAGTGTCAGTGTGAACGAGGTCACTGAGTATTCTCGCCCCACTAAGCACGCCTCTGCCTTTAGCAAAGTGTTCACACGGTGTGAAGTTGCTGTCAAAGCCGGTTTACCTACTACTTGGAGCAACAAGGAGTCGCTGGAACAGTTGTTGAGGGACATTTGGGCGTTCGGGTTTGCTTTCGCCTCTCACATGTCCGATTAG